ATTGTACGCAACATACCAGGTGTGGTCTCACTAATGCCTTGTACATTTGCAGAAACACTTCTCTACTTTCCAACTCCATTGCTAAAGGAATAAAGGCAAATTGGATATAAAATTGAAGGTACGAGACCAAGGGTGGTGGTAGAGGGTTGCTTTTCGGACTGGAGACCTGTGCCACAAGAATCTGTGCTGTATCTGCTGCTTTTCATCATTTTATATAAATGATTTGGATGTGAATATAGGAGAAATGGTTAGTAAGTTTGCAGATGACACCAAAATAGATGGTGTAGTGGACAGTGAAGGAGATTATTTCAGAGTACAATAGGACCTTGATAGATGGGCCCATTGGGAGAGTGGCAGATGGAGTTTAATTTAGATAAACATGAGGTGTTGCATTTCAGTAAGGCAATCCAGGATAGGACTTGTACAGTTAATGGTAGGGCCCTGGGGAGTGTTGCTGAACAAAGTGACCTAGGAATGCAAGTGCATAGTTCTTTGAAAGTGGAGTCACAGGTAGACAGGGTGGTGAAGGTGTTTGATACGCTTGCTCTCACTGGTTAGATCATTAAATTTAGGATTTGGGGTGTCTTGTTGCGGCTGTACAGGATGTTGGGCGAGGCTAATTTTAGAATACTAGATACAAATCTGGTCGCCGTACTATAGGAAGGATGTTGTCAAACTTGGGAGGATGGAGAAAAGATTTACAAGGATGTTGCTGGGGCTGGAGGGTTTGAGTTCTAGGGAGAGGCTGAATATGCTGGGGTCATTTTTCCTGGAGTGTCAGTGGCTGAGGGGTGACCTTGTAGAGTTTTATAAAATGATGCAGGACATGAATAGGCTATATAGCCAAAGTCTCTTTCCTAGTGTGGAGACTAGATGGCATAGGTTTAAGGTGAGAGGGGAAAGATTTTAAAAAAAGGACCTGAGGGGTAACTTCCATGCAGAGGGTGGTGCGTTTCTGGAATGAGCTGCCAGGGGAGGTGGTGGAGGCGGGTACAATTACAAAACTTGAAAGGCATCTGGATGGGTGCATGAATGAAAGGGTTTTGAGGAATATGGGCTAAAGGCTGGCAAATGAGATGTCTGGTCAGCGTGGATGAGTTAGACCTAGTGGTCTGCTTCCATGCTGTATGACTCTACAAAATTCCATTTCCTTCCTTATTACCTGCTGTACCTGCATGCAAGTGATTAACGCACAAGAACCCTTCCTCACTCTACCCAAAATGTTAAACTGATTTCTCGCTACAGATTTTGCCAGACCTGGTGAGCTTTTCCAGCAATTTCTATTTTTGTTTTTGATTTACAGCATCCACAGTTCTTCTGGTTTTTATTTAGAACCTCTGACACTTTTGGTTATACCTATCAGCCAGGACTCCCTGATTGGGTTAACAGCCCAAATCAGGGAGCTCATTCTGAGAGATCCACCTGGCTGGCCTCGTTCCAGTCAGTACACTTGCTACCTTTATCCTAGCATATTATTTCCCTTTCTCAAGGCAGTTGAACTTTGGGAACCATCACATTTCCCATATAGGCATCTGCACTGGACTTTGTTTTAACCTCCCAAATTGGTTTCATTCCAAATGTGGCAGCCACACTTGATGAACTATTTCAACATATTATTGTTCGAAACTATATTTTGCTTTGATAAGTTAACATTTCACATGATTGTGACAAAAGCTCAACATTATTGCCATAATGCATCTTGTGAATCAATAAAATGCAATATCCATGCTTTGCCGTTTTTGTTTTAATTCTCTCTAAGATGTGACTCAGCAGAATGAAAGAGTTAATTAGATCAAGAAAAGAAACGGAAGATGTCCACATAACTTGCTGTGTCGAGTTTCCAGCTGCTTTATCTCTTTAGTATGACCTCTCACCAACAATAGTGAGAGCTGAGCCTTGCTCCGGTATCAAGTTCTTAATCCAGTGGAACACCCTCCTGCTGTTGAAACTACTTTCTCTTTGACAAGTGAGAATGGGATAATATGTGGCTTGTAGAAATCCTTTGAAAATATGTGACATACCTTGGTGTATGGTGGGGAGAAGAATTGGCATATGCAGCAAGAGGGTTAAATTAGCTGCAGAGCTAATAACCAGTCTTGATTGTGAATGCACTGCTCATAAATCGAGAGTTTGGGTTTACAGATGATCTCACATTACTTGATCCTCCATAATATGTCCTTTACCACTCTTTTCAAAGTGCATCTCCCTTTAATGGCTGGAGATAGCTATAAACAATGGCATTCCACTGGATTTCCCATTGTTTCAGTTGGCCAGTGACGTGAGGAAAACTGTTGCCATTAGTAGTTTCACTTTGTACTCAAGTGACACGTGATCATGGAAATTGATCAAACATCATGTCACCATCAAATACTGACTGAGTGGATACTCCACCTGTTACTGCCTAATGTGCTAGTTATGAAAATTGTGCCAGTAATTTATGATTTTCTTTTGCCCGTAAAGGTGAAGAATATTAATGGAAGACAGTCATTTACGGCACAGAAAAATAGTCATTTATGGTGTGGAAGGGGGTGCCATTTGGCTCATTGAGTGAATGAATTTATTTCAGCTACTAGGTATGAGAATCCTGTTCTACCAGATGAGATATAGCACAATGCACTACAGCCCCATCTTCAGAAGATTATCCTTTCTGCACTAAGAGTGACAGTTTTATATTTTTACATTTCAGATGTTCGCATTCTGTGGCTTCTCAATGAGATTGCACGTTAGTGACAAATAGAGACGAGCTATTGATGCAGATCTGTGCCCGGACAAATCAGGGCATGGGTCCAAGAATTCAGCAAGTGCTTGTTCATTCTCTCATTCATTAAGGTTTCCGATGCTCTTTTGTCTTATCAGCTTTCATTCCTAGCAAATTGATGGTGCAAATTATATTCAGGACAAAGTATGGAGGGAAAAAAAAAGTATGGCTAGTGGTGCATTTTTCAAACAAGTTAATAATTTTTGGGCTTGTGGAGAGGATTCCCTGAAATCTATTGACTTTTTGGGCTTCTGTGCTGCTTTAATGAAGTTAAGTGAGAGTGTTTGTTGAGCTTGAAACAGGAGCACTTGTAAATTTTAATTTAAGCTAATACTCGATTGCTAAAAGTTTAAAAGTACCTAAACCATTACAGAAGCCAACCTTCCAACCATGGACTCCATATACCCGGTTTGCTGCCATGGAACGGCTGCTAACATCCTAAAAGACCCATCGTACCTTGGTAATGATCTTCTACAACCTCATCCATCAGGTAGAAGATACAGAAACCTGAACACGCCCCAGAAGGTTCAGGAACAGCTTCTTTCTGGCCATTATTAGACTGATGAATAGACTCTCTAGCCTCAAATAATGCTGATCTTGCAAATGTTGATCTTGCCTAGCACACACCCTGTGCAACATAGCCAGTACGCCTCTAAATATTTTTGTGTACATCCTTGCTTACTATGATCTGCCTGTACGGCTTGTAAACAAAGTTTTTCACTGTACTTTGGTACATGTGACAATAAATCAATCAAACTTGAAATTAAAGCTGAAAGCAAATCCAAATTGCTAGATTAGCTCATCCTTGCGCACTTCAATTTACTTTACAATCTACTTTAAAATCTTAAATAAACCCTGTGTATCGCAGTGACTTCGACTACGGTGTGTTTGCCACAGTGACTGACATTTTTGGGATGGAAAGTAAAATATCCATAATCAGTTATGACCACACAAACAAAGAACACACTTGGGTCACTTGCCCCTCTGAGCCTGCTCCACCATTGAAGAAGATTGTGTGTAGAGTGAACTTCCTGTTGAAGTGGTGGATGTGGGTACAGTTAGAGCATTTAAAGGACATTTGGATGGATATACGAATAGGAAAGGTTTGGAGGGATATGGGCCAGGAGCAGGCATGTGAGACAAGTTTAGTTTGGGGTTATGTTCAGCATGGATTAGTTGGATCGAAGGGCCTGTTTCTGTGCTGTATGACTCTGATTTGATTTTAACCTCAACTCTACATTCCTGCATACTGCAATAATCTTTTATCCCTTGTTTCTGCCCGAAGATATTTTAACTCTACTGAATCCACTGCTTTTTAAGGAAGGGAATTCCAAAGACCCTCAACCCTCAAATATTTTTTCCTCATCTCTGTCTTGAATGGGTGATCCCTTATTTTTGAACTATGACTCCTCATTCTAGATTTTCCCACGAGGAAACATCCTTTCCACATCCTCCCAGTCAAGTCCTGTCAGAATCTTGTGTGACTAGCCTTTCCTCGGCCATCCACTCATTCCAGGTAATGGAGCATGCACCAAATGGACAGACTGTGTAATCGGTGCTTTTCACAGTCGATTTTTAATCGATCTGTTGACAGGTCTAATGAGTTGACAGTTTGTGTTTATGAGCGTGTTATATGTTTGTGATGACTTCTAACATTTCCAAGTTCACCTGACCTATCAAAAGGGCTCATTACCTCCCCTAAAGGTACCCCAGTGCTAATCTGGCTATTTAACGGATCCACAAAATACGGACACGCTGTTACTAAGCCGACCTGCACACTTTGAGGTGCAAACTTCCAAAATATACTTAAATGGCTAATTACATTTGTAAAGTGTGTGTGTGTCAAAGAGATGCACTTTTCCTGTTCCCATTGCAATAAAAATAGGAAGTGCCATTTCAGGGCCAGACTTGTGATATTTGGGCTGTTCCACTACTCTCACCAATGTGAAAAGGCTCCACATTACAGTGTGAAACCTGAGCTATGTCTGCAACTTTTGCTAAAGCTGTAGCTAAATACTTAAAATTCAAGTTTCATAAATTCATCACTGTAGAGAGTACTGTAAATTGATTTTAATGATGGTGAAACAATTTAATCACTTTGTGAATAAAGGTTACTTTAAATGGACATTTGTTAAATAGATTAACTGTTGGTAAAAATATGAAATTTTCATTTGGTGATATTACAGTTTGCAGAAGGTACTGCAACATCTAGAATAGCAAATTGTGATTTGATGTACAGGTAATGTTTCCTTTATTACAGACTAATGAGGGAGTTCAGAAAACAACTTATACAATGTTCAAAGCTGTTCTGAAGAAAAGTCGTGAAGGTGGAAGAGGGGGCAAGAAAGAGATTGGTACGTAGTGAGAAATGTTTTAATTGGGAATACAAACTTCTTAATTGTTGGTGCCCTCATGATTTTTCACTTCTTATTTTTATCATTTATGGGTTGGAACGGAGAGCTGAATGTGAACTTTGAACTGTGAGCAGCAACTTGTTTTCTTAAACAAAGAATGGTTTTTGGGTTTATTTTGTGAGGCAAGGCCTGGAGCTGATTGCTGATTGCTGGTTGATTGTTGAAAAGAGTGCTATATAGACACTTTGACTCTAGAGAAGCGTTATATTTAAGCAGATTGAAGATATTTGAATGGTAACAGGAGTTTGATATGGAGACACCCAGTCTAACAAGTAGAAGCCAGAGTTTGAACTCTGTTTAGGTCAGAAACATTGTACCTGCAAAAGCAACAGAATGGAGGTTAGATTACTCCCTGGTTGTCCTCACATTATCAACTAATTGAAAGTTCAATGCATAGATTCTTGGTAATAAGAATTAAATGAATATTCCTCCAATCCTAGTGGAAAGTATCTGCATGCATAGGTGTCTTCAGAAACCGGCTAAGATATAATCCCATGCACCTGTGATATTATGGATCATGGGGTAGGCTTATGTGAACTGACCAGTTAGTTACATCTCAATTATTTTTGGTTCCCTTTGACTTGTCACTTTACTGTGTCGGACTGTCTTTGTGCGACTGGGAAGCTAGAATCAAAGAAGCTTGCATTTAAATTGTACATATTGCTTAGATTAACGTGGTGTACCTTTTATTGTGCTAAAGCTACTGTATTATTAACAAATTATTCAATCTTTTATTTCAGCTATAAAACTAGTGTCTGGTATTGGTTATTGAAAGAGTCTGGATGGTGCCATTGGAGTTAATTTTCAGGGTTATTGAGTATTTTAATTTTACTGTGTTGTGAATACAGGGACAAGGAGGCTGATTGATTTGTCTGCTTGTCTCCATGTTATAACGTAATGGTTTGAGTTGGAAATGGGAGAAAGTGAAACTGTTTTAAAGTGTAGCTCCTGCTTAAGTTTCTTGATAGAAGTTTACAAATTATGCGAGGCACAGATAGCCTTAAGTCTTTTTCCCATGGTAGAATTGTCAGTTATTTGGGGACATAGGTTTAAGGTACATGGGGGAAAGTTTAAAGAAGATGTGAGGGGCAAGTTTTTTTAAATGCAGAAGGCAGTAAGTACCTGGAGTGTGCTGCCAGAGGAGGTATTGGAGGTGAATACAATATCAAATTTCAAGAGGCATCTTGAAAGATGTATGAACAGGCAGGGAATAGAGGAATATTGACAGCGTAAAGGCAAAATGATTTTAATATAGAAAGGAACCGCGTGTCAGTGCAGCCTTGGTCCTCCGAAGGCTTGTTTCTGTGCTGGACTGTTATTTGTTTAAATTACACTGCCAAGTAGAAAATCAATTTCAAATCTAATGTATTATGTTACATACTGCAGTATATTTTATTCTTTATTGGTTTCTCTTCTCCCAACAGTGCTTTATGCACACTCCTTTAATCCCTCTTTTGAAGTTTTCCCCCATTCTTCAATGTTGTCTGACCTCATTATCAGCTTGATTGATTTCAAGAAGACTTTTGATAGCATCTATTGGAATTGCACTCTGGTCTAGTATAAGGCTAGTACAACATCCTAGAGTAGTATATCAGTATGTTCAAAGCCTTGTACTGCAACATCTACGTCAAGATCGTCATGGGCACAGAGCCTCCTTCAACACCAACACATGAGTATGGGAAGATTTGGTATTGTTCCCTATTCCTTTCCTTTAGGTTATTAATTTTGTCATGCAGGAGGCAATGGTGGTGAGAGATTTTGGCTTTCCCTTGCAACACCACCAACTGACTAACTGAAATTTCATAGATAACATCTCCTTGCTGGCCAAAGAATTGTACATAATCAAAGATGTGATCATATCTTTGAATATAGCAGTGCCAAGGTTGACCTACACATCCAATTTGAGAAGATCGTTACAGTGAAGACTGGATGGCAAACAAGACCTTCTCATCACCATTGGGCAACAGAATTAGGAAGCAACATCTCCATGGAGTGTGTTATAAAAAATCAGCATCCTTGTAGGAATTGCAAAAGCAGCATAGATGTTTAAGCAACTTTGCACATTTTGGGCATCCAACACCACCAGTGTGGCCATGAACTGCAAATCTGCATGTCTGTTGTAGCACCACCTGTAATCTATGCTAGTAAGACATGAATGTGTCACATAATCAGACATCTTCCAGCAGAATTCCCTACATAGGATCCTGGGCATCACTTGGAGAGACACCAATGCCAGTCAAGTGCTACGCAGGACTGATCAATGGTGACTACGGGTTATTGAGAGAGAAAAACAGAAAGATGACTGAGACGACTAATAGGGAATGCAGGAGACAAAATAAATATCCTGTCAGAATGGAAGTGAAATGAATGCTAACAGATAAGAAAAGAAATCTGGAAAAGTATGTTTAAGGAGGATTTCAAGTGTGGACATCATAAGAAATTATCTCTTTGGAGATGGTCTCATGTCTCATTGAATAAGGCGCTGGAAATCAAGTCCTGCCTTTCCTGGAGTTGTCACAATAGTTAGAGATTTTATCAAAATATACAAAATTCCACAATTTACTTGTCTTTTTAGACTGAAGTTGACAGAATACATGTCCAAGTTTCTGTACGTGACAAGATTATTACAAGTAAATAGATTCCAGCTACAGGTAAACAACAACAAAACTCCCCCTATACATAGATACAGATAGACAAACGCAGACAGACAAACATTGTGTTATGGGTAGAGAAATCACTTTTTGTAAGACCAGTGCTCGCCCTGTTAACTCTTCTTTAAAATATCTAGAAAAACTCTTAGTGTTTTTATATTTTTAGCTAACTTTTTCTCATACTTTCATTTTTCCATCTTTCAGTCACTATTTTAAAAAAAAATCTTACCACTCTTCTGAGCTGCCACCCATTTTTCTCCTTCAAATTTGATAGTATCAGCAAGTTTTATTGTTCACTATGGATTGTGACTCCTCCCCTTGGAATTTTTATTTCATGTTGGAAAGTATACGTTCTGTGTTTCCGTACTGACTAGAATATAATGTGAGGTTATGGACTTTGACAGGAAGAATAGAAAAGCTGAACATCATTTAAATGGAGCAAGACTGCAAAGAGGGATTTGGGAGTCCTCATAGATAAATTACAAATTGGTATCCAAGTGCAGGTAATAGGGAAGGCATATGGAATATTGGTCTTTATTTCAAAGGTAATGGACTATAAAAGTAGGGAGGTCTTGCTAAACCTATACAAAGCACTTGGAATACTATGAATAGTTTTGGTCCTTTTACCTAAGGAATGATATACTGGCATTTAAGGCAGTTCAGAAAAGATTCACTCTGTTAAATCTGGGTATCCAGAGATTTTCTAATAAGGAGAGGTTGAGTAGGTTGGCTCTGTACTCATTGGAGGCTCAGAAGAATGGGAGGTGACCTTATTGAAACAGGGTAGATGCTGAGATTGTTTCCCCTTGTGAGAGTCTCCAATTTGAAGTCATAACCTCAGAATAAGAGGTCACCCCCTTAATATTGATGAGAAATGTTTCTCTCTCGGAAGGTAGTGAATGTGTAAACTTATTTACGCTGTGGGCTAAGATTGCCAGTCTTTAATCAGTAAGGGAATCTAGGATTGTGGGTAGTCGTACTGGACCACAGAGCTGTTCTCTCATTAGGGAGAGATGCTGTGAGCTGGTTTAACCCGAGGGTCACCATGCCACAGGTGAAGGGAAGAGGATAAAAAGGAGAGTCCTTCATGGTTACCTTAGCTGGTGTTAAACCCATGCTGTTGTGTTACTGTCATTGCAATACAATGGTCCACCCAACTATTTCATTGGGTACATAGATGTCTACTAAGGTTGATGTGCCAATCGCTCCTGCTACAAATAGAACAGAGTATTGGAGACGATTGAGTTTTTGATTGAGTTTCTGGTTCAGGATTTCATCTCCTTGTGTTTTCTCTCTGCTACTGATGCAAGTTTGCTTTTCAAGGAGGATACGTTTTATTTTGTTTGTTTGCGCCAGGTGCAACGATCCTGACTGATCTAACCCCAGGACTGCAGTGTTTAAAGAAGGTGATCACCAATCTTGAGCAACTAAGACTGGGTCTTTGTAGCAATGCTCATGTCCTATGAAGGAATGACACACAAGTTTCAATTATTGATTTTTGTTGCTATAACATTGAGCGTACTGTCTGTTTGTTTAAAGCTGTGATCCCAGCTCTCCTTTCACTCTAAACTGAATAATCTGGATTTACTTTTCAGATTTTTTCAACCATCTTAAAAATCCTCAAATCACCTTTCGTGTGTCTCCAGGTTGCAAAGATAGTTTTCAGTATTTTCTTGTTATTTAGACTTTTGATATTCTGTGCACTGCCTTCAACATGTGTTTCATGTGTGTTTTGGCATTTGAAACCAGATACAGTCCTCAGTGCGTCCTGCTGGATATAAAACTCAAATGGCCTGACCACAACAGTTTGGTCAGAAGTTCTTTTAACTTCTGAATTGTTTGGTTAGGAAGTTCAGTATTTTGCTGACATTCATCATTGTTCTGCATTTGTTGGACACGTCAAGTCTGTTAAACCTCTAAGCTTTATTCTCAGCTATTTCTGCACCATTCAAGGAGTATGTGTGCTGCTATTTTTGCTAGCTTTGGTTTCATCTGCTGTTTTTCTTTTTGTTCCTGCACCTTTCACTCGGCTGTTTCTGTATTTTTTGAGCTGCTCCTGTGATTTTTAATGGTGCTCTTAGCTTGGTGTTAAAAGTAAATTTGACATTTTTGCTTTCAGTTTCCTAATCCAAATCATTTTAAATTTGAAACAGTGGTTAACATAATTCTGGGACCTGTTCACCTTTTTTCATGCCCTCCTCGCCTTGAAGTAACAGTTCTAATATATGCTCTTTCCCTTCATGTCATGGTAGTGGCTCTAAATCTTCTCCCAAGTCTTTCTCAGCATTGTTAAGTTGAATGTCATCTACTCCTTGGGTGGTTTGTTCTCTGCCTTTTTTAACATGTTTAACCTTGCTGTTTATATCTTGAGTAATGGAGTATTGGAATCATGCTTGGAATCTAAAATTTTTGTTATTTTTTAAGAACTATATTGGTCACACTTTTTAAACAAAAACAAGCATTTGAAAGCATGAAAAATTATAAATAATTGGAGAAAAAGCTATCATTTAATTCTCATTTATTTTAGCCTGATTTCAGAAATTTACAAGTTTTATGGTGGGATGACTACAAGTACTTCAGCAATTTGTGTTAAAGCCCAGTTCCTAATAATGCATTAACTGAAAGTCCTATTATGAAATTTGCTGGTGGCAATGGAAGGTGACAAAGGTGAGAGGTAGGAAATTGAACATTAGACAAAAGCCCCAAAAAATATACCTTGCATCAAATCAGTGTTAATGGTTTATGGCATAAAAGCAGCAGGCGAGTTATTTACAGCTTTATCGTGTTCTTTATCACTCTTCTGTTGACACAGTACTGTCCTTTTTAAAACATTGCGTTTTTTGACTTAATCATGTGAAGCAGTGGATAATCCTAGTAAAGATTTTGTGCACGTTTTAATATTCAAGACAAGTTATTTGATCCAAACCTTTTAGTTGTGTTGCAAAGACTGTTTGTTTTAAAACCTCTCAACAGTTCTGCATTGTAACTAGATGATAGATGTGTGGTATTGATTTGGCTTTAACCAAAAAGTGGTGAAAGCCTTAAGAATTTCTTTATATTTGAATCATGATTCGTATTATTATATGCAGTAATTGTCTTCACTTTTTATTTGTTCTTTTCCATTTAATTTTCTTAAGCAGATGTGTACAAAATGGAGCAACAGAAAGTGAAACCACACCCCTCAGTTGATTGTGTACAGCAGTGGCAGAAGAAAGGTAAATAATCCAAAACATGCTGAAATAGTCCTTATCATAACTTAAAAATAAAGCTTCGTTTCAGATATTTCTTTCGTTTGAAAACTTGAGATGGATGTAAAATTTACCCTGTAAGGTTCTTAATTTAGCAAAACTTGACTTGTTGCTGGATATTCTGCTATTCTCATTGATCATAAGATAAATCTTTCGCATGCTTACTCATCTTCATATTTTCAGTCTTTCCAATCTTTTAAAATGTAACTTTGACCAACTTCTCACTTTTTGGGTGTTTGTGCAGTTACAACTATTGCATGTTATTTAGACAATGACAAGCTCTATCCTGTCGATTTTACAAACTTCTGTTTAATAAAACCTGGGAGCAAACTGTACCATTGGAAGAGCTGTTCCATGGCTAAGTTAAATAATAGCCTGGCACATAATAAAGGATTACATCTTAGAGAAATTGCGTCAGTCACTACCGTCACCATTCTTGAGTAGGTCCTGCCCACTGGTGGGACATATTCAGATCACTGTGGACTTGAGTTTTTTTTTAAACAAGGATTCCTAGAAATCATAAAGCTGGTGGAACTGGCGACAATGGCAACACAACCCTTTTGATCCAATATCGTCCTCCTGACTAAACCCTGGGGGGCTCGTGCCAAAATTGGCCAACCTGTCTCCCAGACTAGTCAAGCAATTGCCTTGCATAGGAAAACTCATGGAATCATGTTTTACAGACTACGTCCCTAACAACAGCATCATCATCCCTCTGTCTGCCCTGTACTACAGGCAGGACAAGATGCAGCAGGTATTGTGGCATAGGGGTATAAGGAGAGAGTTTCACTGAGTCTTCAGTATACCATAATCTTTGATTCCCTTGCCTAACAAAAATCAGTCTAGCATTTCAGAACGGTTGAGGTTTCAAGCCGAAACTTTAACACTGATTTCTTTCTACAAATGCTGCCTGACCTGCTGAGCTTTTCCAGCAATTTCTGTTTTGGTTTCTGATTTACAGCATTCATAGTTCTTTGGGTTTTTAAAAATGTATGTACCATTCTCTTAACAACATTCAATGATACTGCATTCTGAAACAGTTTCAAAGTAGCACAACTGTCAGAGTGAAAAATGTTCTCCTCAACTCTATTCAAAAAAGGGCAATTTTAAAACAATGCCCTTTAGTTCCAGTCTTGCCCACAAGAGGAAACTGCTTTCCATATCTGCTTTCTCAAGAGCATTCAGGTTCTTATTTTTCAATGAAATCATTACTCGGCCTTCATACCTCAAACTGTAATGAAGAGAAACCCAGCATGCCCAACCTATCCTCATAAGACAAGCTATTTCTCTAGGTATCAAGCTAGTAAACCACCTCTGATCCACCTCCAAAGTATTTATATCCTTCTTTAAATAAGGTGACCAAGACTGCGCACACAATTCAAGATGTAATCTCATCTATTTCCTATTACTACAGGATAACATCCTTACTTTTACATTCAATAGCGGATAGCATCCCATTTCCTTTCTGTACTGTAGTTTATTTACTGTAACTGCATGTTAACTTGTGATTGGTGTACTAGGGCACCTGATTTCTGCGGTCGTTTCCACTTGACTAATAATGTTTTCATTCTTTCTGCTAAAGTGAACAGTTTCACGTTTTCCCACATTATTCTTTATCTGCCAGAGTTGTGCCCACTGTCGCCCTACGTATATCCTTCTGTAAGCTCTTTGTCTTTATTCACAGTGTTGTTTCCTACCTCCCCATTATGTAAAGTTAGAACTAAAGTTAGAGGAGTAAAATTAGGAATCCCTTTTTCTCACAAATAGTTGTTCCTGCTGTTCTCTAACCTCCAATGCTATCCTCTCCTCTGCAATGTGTCCTTCCAGTTTTTGTCATCCTTTTTTCTCTCTCTCTTTTCTACCTCCTTTTATCCTCCTTCACCATTTCTAGTTTATTTTTGGGCATAGTGGTATTGAGTCATCCTATAACTATTATGTTGACAGACCTCTATCGTCCATGATTCTTAGAAAATAGTTATTGTATACTATTTGTTTTCAGCAGGAAACTTTTGTACTGATCATTGTGGTCAAGTTGGAATGTCAGATGATGCTTCTGGCCAGTTCTCCATTCAAGAGGAGATATGCAAAATGAGCACGTCTAAAGGAGTGTCCATGTCACTTCCATCCTCACCACTTTTGCCACGCCAGTCACTTACTAATCATACACGGGCAGGCAAAAGGTCCCCAGGTATAAATTTTACATAACAGCAGCCGATTACTTTTTAATAACTGTACAGAAAATGAATTTAGAGCTCAATGTTTTCCTTTAACAATTATACCTGATCATTTTCTTTAATGTTGGAGTTAACTTTCTGAGTTCTGTTCAATTTTCTCCTGTTTCCTCCAAGCATTATGCACTTGCAGTTGAATCTGTATATCAGCGCTAATTCTTCAAAAAAATTCAGCTGGTTTAGATGCTGCCTTGTATTTTATAAATGTTCTTGAGTAAGCATGAACATCTACTTTAGTTTGAGACTCCTAGCACAATATGTTCAAGAACATTGGTGTTTCTTGAAAACTTCTGAAAATTTCCAAAAGCAGCGCTTCTACATATGCAGAGATAGTTGTAGAGCAGCCCTGCTCAAAAGAAATTTGTGATCTCTATTCATGCAGGGTAATATAATTTGTAATGCTTTAGTTTCATCTGAGTATTGTAGTGAAAATAATATCTTTAAATGAGTACTACAGGTTGTAATTAAATAGCTAAAATGAATAGCTATTTATGTTGTGTCTGGAATAATTATTTACCTTTTAAAGTATTTATAACAAGTCGGTCACTATCAAACTGCATGATGGTTGGCTGACCAACAGGAAGCTATGAGGATATTTAGGTCACTTTCAGGTTGGGAAACTAATTGGTAGTGTGTCATACAGATCCGTACTTGGGAGAAGGGACAGAGTGTATCATACTCACATTTGCTGGGGATTAAAAGGTAGGAAACAAGTTGTAATGTGAATACAGATTCTGTGAATTAAAGATAGGTTAAGTGAGCAGGCAAAAATTTGGAAAATACAGTTCAGTATGAGCAAATGTAGGGTTGTGCATTTGAGTAGGAAGCAAAATATATAAATGAAGAGGGACTAGAGAATACTGCGGTTCAGAGGAATCTGTGTATCCTTGTACATGATTGCAAAAGCTAGTGAGCAGGTACACCAAATAATTAAATGGAATTGGCAACCTTTATTGTAAAGGGGATGGAGTATAAAACGGAAGGCTTGTTACAACTGTATAGGGTTTTGGTGCACCTGCACTTGAGTATTGTGTACAGTTTTGGCCTAATTTCTTAAGGAGGGATATACTCACTCTGTTTCTGCAATGGAGGCAGTTCACAGAAGAACCATTAAGTTCGTTCAAATGGACTGAATGTATGCACTTATTGATTAAGAAAGTCTAAATATTTAACTTACACAAACTGAACTTAGTAGTTGGCATTAAATTGAAATCTGGTTCAAATCCTGCAGTTGCTAGCCTTAAGCAGAGCTTTTCTTAGAGGTTGTAGTAAGAACATGTATATCTTCAATTTCTACTAAACTAACTTAGTTTGTAGTTTGAGTTGGCAGTAAACTGAAATCTACAGTTGAAATTCTGTAGTTAGCCTTCAGTGGCGTTGTTATCCCCAAGACTTGCACTGAAAGAGCAGACTAATTAAGAATCAGCTGAAGTTGGATCTTCATTATGTGAATCAGACATTTTGTGCTGCAATATAAGCAGTTGACCATAAGCAGTAACTTGGTGTGGCTCAGTAACTAAATGTGACTTATAGAGAGCCAGAAGTGAAGCAGAGAAAAGAAAGATGTATTTGGTTATTTTTGACTAAACAAAGCAGCTGATTGGTGAGTGTTTCTAATCTTTAAAATAAAAGTAAGGTCCTTTTGATGATTAGGTCTCTAGTCTGTCTTCCTCCTTTTCTTAAAGATAGCTTGTTAGGTATAAGGCTGCTGCAGTCCTAGTGTACTGTCGGGTTGCTCTCTCATTAGAGCAAGATGATTCATGTTAAACCAGCATCAGGGTCACCATACCTCAGTTGAGGTGAGCTATTGAGAATCATTCGTGGTAATCTCAGATGGTGCTGGAATTCAAAACCCACATTGTTGGCATCACTCTGCATTATAAACAGGCCATCCAGCCAACTGAGCTAACTTGTCTAAAAATAAATAATGTGTAAAGAGTAGGGTAGGGTTATTAAATAAAACAGTAGCAGGCTGATTTATGTATTGCTGCCACAGTGAGTGGGAACTGCTGGACACTGATGGTCCAGCTAGAATGTATGTAGCAAATGTTTGTAGCTGGAGCAACCTTTGATTGGTTTGAGGATAATTAGAGATAAGAAAATTTTTAGGTAAGTTAAAAATAATTGTGAAGGAATGAGGGCAGAGTTGACTGAGAAAGAAGTTTAACAGCTGAACATTTGATGAACAATAGCAGTTGTTTAAGAAAATAATTCCTGATGTACAGCAAAGATACATGCCAGTAAAGACCGTGGATTCTGAGAAGGAGATAAACTGACCATGGTTAACCAAGAAAGTTGACGATAACATCAAGTTGAAAGAAAAAGCATACTATGAGGCCAGGATTAATGTAAAACAGGATTGTGAAAGTTTTAAAAGCCAACAAAGGATGGCAAGAAACAGTTGAGGGAGAAATCAACTGAGGTCATATTGGCAAGTAATATGGAAATGACAGGCCTAAACAAACATATGCTCTTTACAGAATGAGGCAGGGAAATAATGGAGAACCCGGAAGTAATAATAATTGAATGAATAAAAACAAAGTTGCTGGAAAAGCTCAGCAGGTCTGGCAGCATCTGTGGAAGAGAAAACAGAGTTAACGTTTCGGGTCCAGTGACCGGGAATGTTGCCTTTTGTATCAAAGGGAATCCAGTACAAAAATAGAGTGGTTACGCTAAAACATTAGAAGGTACAAGTCAGATCACACTTTGTACTGTGAAGAGATTTGGGCATCTTTTCTAAGGAAAGATTTACGAGCTTTTTGGAGACAGTCAGAAACAGTTCACCGGGTTGAGATCTGGTATGCAGGGATTGGTTCAGTTAATTGGGCTTGTACTCATTGGAGAGGTGAACTGTTTCTGACTGTCTCCAAAAAGCTCATAAATCTTTCCTTAGAAAAGATGCCCAAATCTCTTCACAGTACAAAGTGTGATCTGACTTGTACCTTCTAATGTTTTAGCGTAACCACTCTATTTTTGTACTGGATTCCCTTTGATACAAAAGGCAACATTCCCGGTCACTGGACCCGAAACGTTAACTCTGTTTTCTCTTCCACAGATGCTGCCAGACCTGCTGAGCTTTTGAAACATTTGATCGTTGGGGAATTTGACAGGGTAAATGGTGGAGAGTTTGTTTCTCCTTGTGGGAGAGTCTAACACTAGAAGATACAGTATCAAAGTAAGGAGTTGCCCCTTTAAGACAGAGAATGAAAAATTTCTTCTGTAATTCCACAGAGAGCTGTTAGAAGGTTAGTTTGTTCAGTGTATTCAAAACTGAGATAACCAGAGTTTTAAGTAAGGCATTGAAAGGGTATTGGGGGAAAAGGCAGGAAAGTAGATTAACAGTTTCACCATGACTCATTGAATGGTGGAGCATATCAATGGGTGGAATGGCCAACTTCTGTTTCTCCATGTTATAGCTGAAACTGAGATGAGAAATTCATTCCCTCGGTCATTAATTTTGAAATTCTCTCCCCTCGAGAGCAATGGAACAATTTCTGTCCTGGTCTGCTATCCATTATCATCTTGCTCTCTAGGCTCCATCTCCACCTATCTGCTCACCTCTCCCTTTCCCCACTTTGACTTTGGCAAAAATCTCACATTTTCCTCACTACTAAACAGTTCTGTTGAAAAGTCACCAGATTTAAAACAATAACTCTGCTTTCTTCCCACAGATGCTGCCAGACCTGCTAGATTTCTGCAGCAATTTGTTTTTGTCAACCTGCTTAACCTTTGCTCATAAGACATTCTCCTCATCCTTCCCTGAACTGCCCCCAGTGAAATGATATATTTCCTTAAATAAGGGGACCAAAACTGCACTCGGTACTCAAGATCTCACCAACACCTTGTACAATTGCAATAAGGTTTCCCTACTCTTATACTCAAGCCTCCTTGAAATAAGGACCAACATTCCGTTAGCCTTCCTGATTATTTGGTGCACCTGTGTGTTAGCTTTCTGTTTTGTGCACAAGTACCCCCAAGTCCCTTTGTGTTGCAGATTTCTGAAGTTTTTTCTATATTTAAATAATACTTTTTTTTAGTTCTCCCTTTGAAAATTAGCCTCACATATTCTGACATTATACTCCATTTTCCCATCTTGCTGCCTGCTTTCTTAACCGATCAATACCTGTCTGTAGACTGTTTATATCCTGCTTGCAACTTGTCTTTCCATCTATTTTTGTCATTGCAAATTTGGCTACAGTACATTTGCTTATGTCCTCTAAGTCATTGACATGTACTGTAAACAGTTAAAATCCTAGCCCTGATCCCTGTGGAACTCCACTGATTGCCACTAGCCAACCTGAAAAATAATCCTTAATTCCCACTTCGCTATTTCCTGCCCATGAATGAATTCTCTATCCATGCCAATATACTACCTCCATCACCATGGGCTGTTATTTTATGACTTAGTCTCTTGTGAGGTGCCTTGTTGAACACCTGAGTCCCTCGTCCAACATACCTACTCATTCCCCTCAATCCACTCTGATTGAGACTTAGTTTAAAAAAAAATCTCTAACTTAGACACCATTTCCCTTTCATGAAGCAATGTTGACTCTGCTTGATTAGGTTATGATTTTCCAAATGTGTTGTTATTACTTCTTTAATAATTGATTCCAAAAATTTTCCAACAACAGATATTAGGCTAATCAGCCTTTACTCACTTATGGACCTGACCAAACCCTCAAAATATATTAAGATGATAGCCTGGACCCTAACTTTTTTTTTCTTATTTTAAAGGCAAGTGCCAGGTGGTGTGTTCTGGATGCAAACTATTTGGCCAAACTACCAGGTTTGAAGCAAAACACACTTCATTCATACATTATAATTAAAATACAACAAAAGCAAAAAAAAGAATAGTTAACTCTATTGGAAAACTTAACAGATTATTGGATTATTTAACTACTTAATAGTAACTGTTTCAATATAGTAACATCCCATAAGTGCACTCTTGGCATAGGCAAAGTCAGTGAAATGGATTGTCAAATACAATTCTAGCAGCAGGAAGAGAACTTCCAGCTTTTTGCTGTAACAGAAAGAGAAAAACCAGCTTCCATATCCAGCTTCAATGACCAGCAGCAGCAACTACTAAAAAATGTGAAATTAAAGATATTGGCTCTAGGGGAGCTTGACCTGACCCATTCAGGCAGCTTCAATTGTTCCAATTGGCCTCAGAAGCTGTTCACTTGATTGGATCCAAATAGACAGGTCATCCTGTACCTTAAAACTTCTCTCAAAAAAAAATACCAGGATAAAATGCACCTCTTAAAGCCATAGTAATGTCGCACTCAGTTTGTGCCTCCCACCCTTTTTGAATAAGGGTGTTACATTGGCAGTTTTCCAATCCTCCTGTACTTTTCCAGAGTCCAAGAATTTTTGGAAAATTACAACCATTGGATCCACTATCTCTGTAGCTGCTTCTTTTAAGGTCCTAGGATACAAGCCATCAGGGCCAATGAATATACCTGCCTTTAGCTCCAGTAGACTGTATAATACTACAATTCTTGTGATGGTGATGGACTTCATTCATCCACTCTATTCTTTAGTATTGATGGGATGTTAAAAGTATCTTCCACCATAAAATGCGTTCACAAGTGGAAACAATAGCATCAATTGCATATGTTTTGGTTGTTAGACTGACTTTTTTTAAAGTTCTAGGATGGTGTTGAGAATACAAGATTGCAAACAGTTTGCTTCAAACTTGTTCATTTACTTATAAGATCCAAGAGAGTTGTGTACCAAGGGTATCTAATCAGCATGTCTTGGATACAAGGCTGATGTCATTCACATTGCTGCAGGGATAGGTTTCTAAGAGATCCCTGAAAAGTCTGAGACAAGGGCATGTAGCTGTGATCCTTGAGACAAGAAGCAATAAGAGACCAAAAATCTTAATGGTTCACTATGCAGGAATGTGGTGGGAGCTCACTCTAGGATTGAAAAGACCAGACTTACAAGGATTTGAAATGTGCCCAGAAGAGTTGCCTAAGTTGTGCTTTGTGGAGAATCACCAGGAAATAGCCTCATCATGAAAGATACTTATCGATTTAAAAGCTATTAGGCCTGGAAAACAAAGGAATAGAAGCTAGCCCTCGGGAGCTAAGAATCACCTTGGACTGGGCCCAGGAATATCAAATATCTAATTATGTAAAGTATGCCCATGAAATAGATTTTTTTTTTTGGTTCTGTTTAAAGTAAAAGGAAAACTTTCTATTCTGTTGTTTAAAATATATGTTGCTGACAAAAAAATAGTGTTTGTTCGATAGTACTTTTAATGTGGTTTACAATTGTTAAACACCTTTTTTGTTTGAATGAAAGCTGGAAAAATGGAAGTTCTGAATGTAGCCAGAGAATCAGAGTTTACCAGGTCATCTTTTGGAACTTGAAGGTCAAAAGTGGAATTGAGCTGTGCTTCAATCATTGTTGACCTTTGGTAAATCAAAGCTGATTAGAGAGAGAGAGAGAGAGAGAAAGTGGATTTGTGACTTTTTGCTAGACAAACTCGTGGAAAAAGCAACAAGACTGCAGTTTGCCTAACAAGGTTTGGATAGTTAGTTACTGTTTTACCACAGACCGGGTACTGGTGCTGAAAGGAAACTCTTAAAAAGCCCACAGAAAACTTTCTCCTGGGAAGGAAAAAGTGCTTACAGTTGGGGGAAATTCATAAGAATGTAGTCTCTCTTTTTCTTTTTTTCTCGCTCGCGCTCGTTCTGTCTCTCTCTTGCTCGCGCTCTCGTGCTCTCTCTGTCTTGCGTGCTCTCTCTCTCGTGCGCGCGCTCTCGTGCCCTCCCTCGCGCTCGCGCTCACCCCCTCGCGTGCACGCATGTTCTGTACAAGACAATGCTCAAAGGCTCTGAATTTTGTTTGGCTGGAGTGTTCCCACTGGAATTATTTAACGTTTAGTTGTATTTCGCAGACAGCAACTGAACTAAACTTTGATAATACTGAATACATGTTTATTCATAAAATGATTGCGTCTGGAAGAAATCTGTAAGATGATAACGGGAAAGGAATTCTTTTCCCTTATGCAGGCCCAATCAGGAAGCTGAAGTATGTGGAAAGCCCTAAAGTTCCAGGAGATGATGTAATTACCTCAGCTTTGGCCAAGTTGGCACAAAAAACAGATGCTTCCCAGTTAGCACAAAATGGTGAGTATACCTATCTTGTTTCCTTCTTTTAATTGTGTAAAAGGTACAAGACTGAAGGTGCTGCAGCTAGAATATACTTAATGTGGAAAAGTAAATTGTGGGTGCGTTAAAGGCCCTTTAGAATTCTGTTCCCGTTCTGTATGATTTGACAAAACAATGCTCCCACAAAACTTATATAAAATCATCAGATGCTCTGGAATGTACTTGATGACTTCTGAACACTTTGTCGTGAAGGTGGCAGAGGCAGAGCTATTGAATACTTTTAAGACCAAGGTGGCTAGATTCTTGTTGGGCAGGAGAATCAAGGGATATCGTGAGTAGACGACAGTGTGTAATTTGACACACAACCAGGTCAGCCATGATCTTGTTGACTAGTGGAGCAGGCCTGATTGGCCAAATAAGACCATAAGATATAGGAGCAGAAGTAGGCCATTCAGTCCATTGAGACCACTCTGCCATTCAGTTAGATCATGGCATTGATTTTACAGACAATGTCCCAGACACCACCATTACCATCCGTGGATATGCTTTGTCCCACCAGCAGGACACACCCAGCAGACATGGCAGCACAGTGGTATACAGTCAAGAAGGAGTTGCCCTGGGAGTCCTCAACATTGACACTGGACCTCATGAAGTCTTGTGGCTTTAGGTTAAACATGGGCAAGGATACTTCTTGTTGATTACGATGTATTGTCCTCCCACGGCAGATGAATCAGTACTCCTCCATGTTGACCACCGCTTGGAGGAAGCAGTGAGGATGACAAGGGCACAAATGTACTCAGGGTGGGGAATTTCAATGTCTACCACCAAGAGTGGTTCAGCAGCGCACTATTGATTGAGCCAGTCAGGTCCTAAAAGACATAGCTGCTAGAATGGTGATGAAGGAACCAACAAGAGAGAAAAGCATACTTGACCTCATCCTTCCAATCTGCCAGCTGACCGTATCGGTAAGAGTGACCCGCCTTCACATTGAGAATATCCTCCATCGTGTGTTGTGGTACTATTACCAGTACTAAATGGGACAGACTTTGAGCGACTCACGACACACATCCACGAGGTATTGTGGGCCATCAACAACAGCACAGTTGTACTCCAGCCTGGCATATGCCTCAATTAATGATTACCATCAAGCCAGAGGATCAACCTTGGTTTGATGGAGATTGCAGGAGAGCATGCTGGAGCAGGACCAGGCATACCCGAAGATGAGGTGTCAACCTGTTAAAGCCACCAAACAGGACTACTTGTATGCTGACCATCATAATCAGCAACTGATAGACAGAGTTAAGTAATCCCACTACCAACACATCAGATCTAACCTCTGTGGTTCTGCCACATCTAGTTGCGAATGGTGGAGGACAATTGAACGATGTTTTGGAGGAGGTGGCTCCATTAATATCCCTATCCTCAATGATGGAAGAACCCAGAACATCAGTGCAAAAGATAAGGCTGATGCTTTCCCAGCAATCTTTAGCCAGAAGTGCCAATTAGATGATCCATCTCAGCCTCCTCTGGTGGGCCCCAGCATTACAGATGCCAGTCTTCAGCCAATTCGATTCACTCTGTTTGATATCAAGAAACAGTTGGAGAGACTGGATACTGCACATGCTATGGGCCCTGACAACATTCCAGCAAGAGAAGTGAAGGCATGTGCTCCAGAGCTTGCTGTTCATCTAGCCAAGCTCTTCCAGTACATTACAACACAGACATCTATCCTACAGTGTTGAAAATTGCCCAGGTATATACATAAATAGCAGGACCAATCCAACCCAGCCTATGTCTACCCCATCAGTCTACTGTCGATCATCAGTAAGGTAATGTAAGGTGTCATCAACACTGCTGTCAAGCAGCATCTGCTCAGCAATAACCTGCTTGGTGACACCCAGTTTAGGTTTTGCCAGGGCCACTCTGTTCCTGACCTCATTACAGCCTTGGTTCAAACATGGGCAAAAGAACTGAATTCCGGAGGTGAGGTGAGAGTGACAACGCTCAACATTAAGCCCCCTTAAAGTTTTGGCAAAGATCTGTAGCTCGGGGTGAGGGTGAAGTTGTTGACTTGCTCGCCGAGCTGGCTTGTTTTCGTTTAGACCTTTCGTCACCATGCTAGGTGACATCAGTGAGGCCTCCAATGAAGCGATATTATTCTACTCCGCTTGGAATTTATACTTATTTATAAATTCCAAGCGGAGTAGAATAATATCGCTTCATTGGAGGCCTCACTGATGTCACCTAGCATGGTGACGAAAGGTCTAAACGAAAACAAGCCAGCTTGGCGAGTAAGTCAACAACTTCATCAAGTCCGCTTTCAAACGTGTGGTATAAAGTGCCCTAGCGAAACTGGAATGAATGGGTATTGGGGGAAAGCTTCTTAGTAGTTGAAGTCATACCTGGCACATGGAAAGATGGTCATGGTTGTCGGAGGCCAGTCATCTTAGCTATACGGGATATCTCGGCAAGAGTTCCTCAGAGTGGTACTCCAGGCCCAGGCTTCTTCAGCTGCATCAAATAACCTTCCCTCCATCATAATGTCAGAAGTGGGGATGTTGCCTGATGATTGCATAACGTTCAGCACCATTTGCAACTCCGCAGGTACTGAAGCAGTCCATGTTCAAATGCAACAAGATGTGGGCAATATCCAGGCTTGGGCTGACAAGTGACAAGTAACTTTCCTGCCACACACATGCCAGAATCAAACTAACGCCCCTTGACATTTAATGATGTTACCATCACTGAATCCCTCACTATCAACATCCTGGGGGTTATCATTGACAAGAAACTCAACTGTATTCCCCACGTAAACACTGGCTACAAAAGCAGGCCAGAGACTAGGAATACTACGGTGAGTAACTTGCTTCTGATTCCCTAAAGCCTGTCTACTATCTACAAGGCATAAATCAGGCATGTAATGGAATACTACCCATTTGCCTGAATGAGTGCAGCTCCAACAACACTCAAGCTTGACACTATCCAGGACAAAGTATCCTGCCTGATTGGCATTCCATCCACAAGCATCCATTCCCTCCACCACTGATGCTCAGTAGTAGCAGTGTCTGCTATCTACAGGATACATTGCAGAAATTCACCAAAGATCCTCGGACAGCTCTTTTGAAACCCATGACCACTTCCACCTAGAAGGACAAGGGCAGCAGATATGAGACCACTGCCTTCAAGTTCTCCTGCAAGCCACTCACCATCCTGACTTGGAAATATATTGCCGTTTCTTCACTGTTGCTGGGTCAAAATTCTGAAATTCTGTCCCTAATAGCATAATAGGTAAACCAGTGGAAGGTAAACTGCAGCGGTTCAAGAAGGTAGCTCATGGCCATCTTCTGAAAGGGAACTAGGGATGGGCAAGAAATGCTGGTTGGACAGTGACACTCACATCTCTCAAAAAATAAATAAAAATTTGATAATCTTCAACTCCACTTTCTTATCCTTAAGCACTTGATTCCCTTGCTGAAAATCTCTTTCTCAACTTTGAATATGTTTAATGACCCAGCCTGAACGATTCATTGTGGTGAACAATTTCAATGATTCGTTACCCTCTGAAAGTAGAAATGCCTCCTTTACTCGAAGACAGTGCCCTTTGGTCCTAGACTCTTCCTCAAGGAGAAATAACCTCTCCACATCTTTCAGTCAAGTCTGAAGAATCTTGCATAAATCAATATTTCCCCCTCATTCTTCTAAACTCCATGGAGTTCAAGCCCAACTGAATCAAAGTTCCTCCTTACCTGGAATTTTATCCTAGTTTACCTTCTCTGGACTGTTTTCAATGTCAGTATATCTTTCCTTCAATAAAAGGACCAAAACTGTTCACCGTATTCCAGCTATAGTCTTTGGCCTAAGTGTGCTCCTATTTTATATGTTCATATGTGTTATGATATAATTCTGCCATATCGCTCCTTCACCAAGCTGCTGCATACAATAAGATCATACTTTACAGAATTTAGCCCTTTCTCTGACACATTTTGCTTTAAGCCAGGCTTGCTTGTTGGGAGAATGGTAAGAAAGAATTGCTGCTTAGGATGTCTAATGAAATAATATTTCAGTTCCAGTGGGTGCGATGTACACTTTTACAAGATTACTAGAGGCGGCACAGTGGCCCAGTGATTAGCACTGCTGCCTCACAGCACCAGGGACCCAGGTTCAATTCATGCCTGTCTGTGTGGAGTTTGCACGGTTTCCTCTCAAAGTCCAAAGATGTGCAGGTTAGGTGGCTTGACCATGTTAAATTGCCCATGGTGCCCAGGGATGTGCAGGATGGATGCATTAGCCATGGGAAATGCAGGATTACAGGGATAGGGTGGAGGGATGGAGATAAGTCTGGGTGGGATCTTATTTGGAGGTTCGGTGTGGACTCGATGAGCCGAATGGTGTGTTTCCACACTGTAGAGATTCTATGATTACTGTGATGATCTATATAGTACTTGGATTTATATCCCATTGCTTGATGGGTTGTCATTACTTATTTTAAATATTAAGCTTGTTGTACATCTTTATGTGGAAAAATAGCTGCTAAGTTGCGTCTTGAACAATTGAAAACTACAATAGGCTGAACTGTGAAACAGACAATGAAAACATGATGATCATAGTTTTCATTAGGTAAATGATCGAGCTTAAATTTGAGCCTTTGTTTTTAATAATCTGAAATAGCTTAATCCTAATAAAAGTTGCATCCACTTAAGAATACAGAATTAGCTATTCTATGTTCTGGTGGTACACATGAGCAGAGAGAATTTTGAAATGGGGCGAAATTGCAGACAGATACACAGCGGGATGTGGAGGTCCTGGTGCAGCAAGTAAATACGAGAGGTAATAGAATTTTGTCACTTTTTGCACAGGGAATTCTATGCAAAGATAGGCAGGTTATACTTCAGTTATATAGGACTGGTGACACCATATCTGGAATATCTGTGAAGTATTAGTCATCTTACTTGAGGAAAGATGTAAAAGCATTGGAAGCAGTTCAGGGAAGATTTATGGATAAAACTAATACTGAAATG